AAATTTTGGTAATGTAAAATTTTGCTCGACAATTTTTTTCTGTCGGGTAGAAAGAAATTTAAATAAAGTTAACAACAATTAGGTCAGACCATCGCGGGTGAAGTGAGTGGCCGGAGCGTGGATTGTCTTTGCGGGTTTTAAGAATGGTACGCGCGGAAACTATACGTACAAGTGTTATCTACATATGTGTGCGCGCCCACGCACACTGGAATGTTTATTGCAATCGACCAAAAATTTGATGTAGTTTGGATATTGACATTCAGTTTTTTTTCTTTGTTTCTTAAATATAATCAGTATCAGTAAAAGGTAACGTGATATTTTTACCGGTACAAGTTTAACAAACATGAGTAATAAACAAATTACATGCCAATAGCATCGCTTTATCTCCTTCATTTTTGTTTGAAATGGAAAAGTACTTTAACGGTCAAACTCATTAGCCCAAGGCAATATCAAAAAGTACCTAATAACTACGGCGATAGAGTTTAATTACATGTACTTCGATATTAAAATTAAAAAGCTTAAACATTTAAAAAAAATAGTGGCTTAAGAATTTGAACCTCCGACCTTACGTACCAACGGCGGCGAACGGTAAGGCCACGAGACCAAACTAGCATATATGATGACAAACTTAAATTTGATGTTAGTTTTATCTACCTAAAATCTGTCAACCGCGACGAACACTTTTAGTAAATTTTGAAAAATGGTTTGATGCAAAGTGTCAAATGAATGTAACAGAAGTAGTTTATTCCAAATTGTATCACAAGTGTATAGAGATAGAGTTCAATTTTGTCAAATCTTACGATATTTTTGCGCACCTTGACTGCTTCGTTACTTATGACGCTGTGGCTGCTACGATATTTATGGGCACCTTGCATGTACTCATATATTTGACGCTGTGTATGTACCGATGTATTTGAGCAGGGTGAATGTATCTATTAATTTGAAGACTTTTGTTGTACCGATATAATTGATTACTTTTGGTGTACCTATATATTTGCATATCTTGTCTGTTACGGTATTTATGACGCTGACTGTACTGTCAGTGACAAAAAAGTATGAAGCTCCTTGTGGTGTTTTGTGTCATATTTTTTTTAGTATTTTATCGAGAGATGTCCTAGAATAATATAAATAGGAATATCAAAACAAAAACACTAATTATATATGACTAACAAACATTTATTTAAATTAAATATTTTAGATAGTTTATATCTTTCTTAAAAAATTATATCTTAAATAATCTTTATATTATTAACTTAAAAAAATCACAGTAAACAAATTACAAAAAAACTACGCTTATCGTTGGTTTCGGAGCCTAAAATTCCTGCAAGAAATCTATCCTCATCCCTCTTATTCTTTGACAAAACAGACAATTTTAACAAAAATTTTGATCTCAGAAACCAGGATTAAACAAAAAAATAAATACAATCAGTAGAAACCCATATAAGAATTTTATACATTCCTAATATGCCTCGTGTGTGTTCGATGCACACCCTGCATTGCAGATTTTATCTCTTCCATGAATGAGCTTGAATTATGTATAGTTGTGCCTCCTAATACTACTTTAACACCAGGATTCGCCTGATTTATTTGATGTACGCAAAGCGACTCCTCATAAGTCACGCCTCCTACAATAAACACGATAATGTCTTGTGGTCTCCGTCCGTTTGTCTCGTCTCCTCCTAATGTAGGGTAGAGATTCTCACGTAGTTTGCCTTTAATTAGGTCTTCTATGGTGTCCTTGAGGAGTGGAGTGTGTTGTGTGTAGATGTTTTCTACACCATTTAAACCCTGGAAAGAGAATGCGAAATAATTTAATTCTTTTTAAATAAAATTATCGCATTTTATATTATCTAGCTATAGCCCGCGACTCCATTCGCGCAGAATTTAAAACTTAATTGCCCTATACCTGTTGCCTATGTATTCTAGACTATGTTCTACATCTATGATAAATTTCAACGAGATCCGCTAAGCTGTTCTCGAGTTACCTTTAAACAAACATCCATTTAAACATTGGCATTTATAATATTAGTAAGATAATATATAATTATGTATAAATTAATGTTTAGCTACCATTACTGCATTTTAATTTACATAAAAAATAACATTGTAAACATTATCTTACTAATATTATAAATGCGAATGTTTGTATGGATGGACAGATGTTTGTTTGAAATTTGACATACATATAAAATATAATCTGCAAGAACACATAGGCTACTTATTAGGTTTTTTTTAATTCTGCTCAGACGGTATCGCGGGCGACAGCGAGTACTCGATATATGTACAAACTTTAAACAATCTCTTAGTAATCTTGACGGCGTCCTGCAGCCCGAAGAGGTCAGTCTTGCGAGCGTGTGCGCCGCCCCACTCGAGCGCGAGCACGGGCGCGCGCACGCACTCCTCGCTCGCACCTCCTGCAGCACGAGCACGAGCACGAGCACGCAGCGCGTCCAGCAGCGCCGGCAGCGCGTTGCCCGCGTGCTTCTCATACCGCAGCGCGTACAGTGCCACCAGCTTCGCCGCGTCCCACTCCCTCACCGATTCTTTACCTATTAACGCTTTTAGGCGCTGAAAATTAAATTATAATTATTAAAAAAAACTTATTAATTATATACCGCACAAATATCTTTCACAATGAGCTCACATATGTAAATAAATAACAGTATAATCTCACTAATCCGGCACTAATAAAAACCAATGCCGGATTACTGGATTGCATTGAAAAGTCATAGGTAATGAATAAAAAAGCATTTCATAGAGGAAATAAATGTATATAACGTATTACATTAACATACAACTACATATGTAATTAATTAGTTTTCATAATGTGCGCAGCGAGGATGCCGAATTATTGAACGTGATAGTTTATCGAAGTGCCGGATTAGTGAGATTATACTATATTACTAAGAAACGTCTTTTGCGCTCTAGCAATAATTTTCAAAAGAAATAGCATACATGAACATGGGTATCTCAGGCTCAGGCTCAGGTTCCTCACCTGCAGATGCTTAGCATGGTCGCTTTGACAGGCTATCTCCTGCTCCAGCTCGGAGACCTCCAGCAGATGGTGCCGGCCCACCAGCGCTGACAGCTCCCCCACTACAGTCACGTGCTTCGTCACCGTTCCAGACATTTTCTGAACACAACACAATATACAATGTATTTTAAAAATAATTTTCAAAACTGTCTTTTTTCAAATATAATACCTAAAAAAAAAATCACTTAACAAAACACATGAAATGCGTAGAAAATTATTTTTTTGTTAAGTAATTACATTATTACATATCCTAGTAGAGACTCACCTTGAATAAAGGATACGTTTCAACAAAGTTCTTCATATCTGCAATGCTCTCGACCTTCTGATGGCTCTTTGCCTTACGCTGGAACTCCTCCATCAGAGACTTGATTGTCTGCCCGATCTCACCAAAGTTCGAATACAGATTCTGTACACATTACAAGAAATTATTACTACAAATAATAATGCCATTAAATTAAATAAAAACTACATAATTAACTTTATACATTATCTAGTTAGGTTATGCAAGTTTGACTCACCTTAGCATAAAATTCATCCTGCTCGGAGGAGAGCACAACTTCCTTGAAGTCTTTGTGCACATCAGGCACGTGTGCCAGGCTGACACGGTTGTTGCTGATGCCCAGCAGCTCGTGTACCATCGCCTGGTACGTCCACTGCAAACATACACTCATCATGTACTCATATAAATTACAAATGTGCATGTATGAACGGCCTGTGAGTACACAGCACATAATTCTTGCCTTCTATCTCTGTTTAACATATACAATCGAACCTGGCTAATCATGGCTCCAAAGGACTCCAAAGAATTTTTTTTTCTTATAGAGGTTTCTCTCTATCCGAACTTCTGACTGCTGGAGGTCAACAACACGCTTATAGGAATTCCTAGGTTATCCAGATTCAACTACAATTAATTTTAAAAACCAAGATACGCAACTTGACTTAACACTAATAAAATTCAGAAGACTTAGCTTAAACAGGGCACAATGGAATGACTTACTTAAACGCCACAAAAAACATTACCCACCTACCATTTGGACAAAATTACAATCATGTTTGTATGTCATAAATGAATTCAAAGTAAATACCTGATTAAGCAACGGTGTAACAGGATCATCTCTTCTATCAAGAATAAGTAGTATCGGAGTTGGCACGTCACCATTGAATGGTATTGAATTATCAATGAGCACAGTCTCCCGGCGTAAGAGGTCCCGCACGCGTTCCGCAAGCCGTGCACAGGGTTCCGAGGACGCCTCGTAGCGAACCACCGCTCGTTTCTTCAATGACATCACTAACGCCAGCAGACCCTGTGACACACGCTGCAAGTGGTTCTGATTCCATGAACGACCTGGGGAAATGTAAACAAAGATAATCATCCATCCTTATCACCCTCTATGTGGGACACCAGGACTTCGTACTCGAGAACCATAGTTTTTATTTTCAATAGTATTTTAATTCCTTACACCAAATCCATTCAATCTCTTCTTAGGTCTAAATGTACTATTATTCGTGTTCAGCTACTTTTCTTCCAAGAATAGCACACTTGCCCAGCAACCTTGTTGGCTGATTCCCATTGGCCTACCAATAAATCGGCCGAAAATAATCCCATCTTAAAAATAATGAGTAATAATTAATTAAATAGATTTTGTTTTGTACCATGCAAACATCCAACAATATTGAATGAGAAGAGATGTCTATCCACTGCTAAATAGTCAGCAAAAACTTCCTGCACCTCGCGCACTGCCTCCTGCTCATCGCACTCTGCCAATGTCTTGATGTCAGCCTTGGATATCACATTGCTGAAATCTTATCACTACATTGTTAATTTGAAACATTGGTGTGTGTCTCTAGTGCTGTAACACATGTTCAAACACTCAATGTCTTATAAGAGTAAAAGAGACAATAAATCTGTTCTGTTTCTTGTTTATGGCTCTCCCTTGTTAGATTGGGTGTGAATGTCAAGTGTTAACAATAAATCAAAGTTGTACATATCTTATGACAGGAAATTCATAGATAACATAATATATATTCATGAATGGCAATTATATTTCACATAACATGATTTGATTTCTTATCATTTATTAACAAAACAGTTAGTAAAATCAGTGCTATGTTTTTAAACTACATAATATTATGTATGTAACACTTACATATAAAATAAACTCCATATTTAGGGCAGCGAAGTTCTCTAGACAATAATGCAATGTTTTCAGAAGTAGGACGTAGAAATACAATGCATTTCATATGCTTTAGATTGTCAAATTTACTTGGGTTGTCTATTCTTTCAAACAGATATACCTCTTTTTGTAATATTTCTGTTTGACTGTACACCATGCTCACGATGCTTGTCTGAAATAAAATTTACGACGGTATTACTTTTAAATAAAAAAATTAAACACGAAACTTTGAACCATCTAAAGTGGGTGGTCACAGAAATTAAGGTCAGAAAAGCTTTAATACCCAAGCAAACTTCGATGTTTATAATTAAAATATTTCTCAGCAATTCCTAAAAATGGAGTAAAAAATGCCAACACATATTTTTTTATAAATTAATAGATATATTGAGGAATAACTCACAGTCTCCTTATCCATAAGAATAACTTTCATGCCTGGACCGCTCTCTTCAGTCATTTTAGTGATATACATCTTTAGTGCCTTTATAACATTCATGGTTTTATCTTTAATATTATTTATCGTATATCGCAAAAATAAATACACTTTTTATAATCCGATCAATACTTTCGAAATCTATTTGTTTTGACATTTGACAAAAACAATCAACGTTTCCGACATTGACATGTGTCAAAAAAAAATATTCTAACTACGCAGCAGACTGTCAAACAAAATTGATCAAATGATAATTGCCCTTGTATTAACACTAATAAATAAATAAAATAATGGAAGTTTAGTTCTTTTATTGATATGTTACCAAGAAAGCACTAAATTAAAATTATGAAAATGAATATGCTGGTAAAATTCTCGATGATTAAATCCGTCAAAGTCAAATAAAAACTCTCATTTCAAGAAGTGCTTATTTTCTTCTATTGACTAATACTAATGATTAAAAATAATTGTTTAACATACTATTATAATTCACTAGATCCATTTTAAAAATCCATTAATTGATTGTTTAAGATTTTTCTTTTCTCGGCGTCTAATTGGTTTAGATACGTAATCGAATGGAATTAACGAATACCCAAGGTTCTGCTAGCGTTTTCCGTTATAACATCAAGAGTAGCGCTTTTCTACAACGTATCCGTATGACGTCAATTACATCACATCACTAGTTATCAACGAACGAAAGGTCGGACGGGTCAGGAGGATCCCCATTTAAGCGGCATATTCCATTTATTATATTAGTATTAAAAAATATTAAAATAAACATATAAAATGTTTTCCCGTGCCCTGAAACCCGTTGCCAGTGTGGCAGTCCAGAATGGCGCAAAATTCTCCACCACATCACAGGTATGATTTTGATGATTTAAGCACATTTTTGCACATTAACTCTTTATACCTAACGTAATATAACAATTCTGAAAATAACTGGTATTAATTACAAATACAAAGATGTTTAATTATTGTTGCAGAAAAACTTTAAAGTGGTGGTGGCGGGTGCTGCCGGTGGTATCGGTCAGCCACTGGCTTTGCTGCTGAAGCAGAATTCTTTGGTGACAAGGCTAGCGTTATACGACATCGCGCCTGTGACCCCTGGAGTCGCCGTTGACCTATCCCACATGGACACACCAGCCCAGGTCACCGGGCACAAGGGTCCAGAACAATTAGCCGCAGCTGTTGAATGTAAGTAACGCTTATATACCTGTTTATATATAAATGTTCAGTACATAGAAGTGTTACATAACGCTTATCAGTGTGCAAGTTGATGTGTCTAACCTAATTTTAGTTTGGGATCTTTGTCAAGGACATTCTGATTATGAAATGTTTAGTATGCAAATGTCAAGTTTTCAAACAATTTTCATTGGAAATAACATTACTGAATAGTAATTTAATAGGTTATAATTAAGTCATATTATATTGTAGAATATAATTACCATAATTTGAATAAATTGATTTATAGTTATGGAGAACACACACTGACACATTTTAATACATATGTATGTATATAAGAATCTCATATAGTTCTTAATGTGTTACAGAAAAGGGTTAAAGATACTCTACACTTTAAATCTATTATGAACTTTAGTATTGTAAATTTCAAGGCTCCTTTATATAGAAATTATTTAGTTACAATTATAAACATAATTGCTATTTAAACGTTAAATCTAACAAATTCAACGTTTGTGGGATGGATTTTAATCTCATTACAGAAAGACTAAAGATAAAGTCATATCTGTTTGCTGATAACAAATAATTTTGTTTTTCCATGATCACACACAAGGTTTATATAATATGTTAGATTCTTTGATAAATATGTTAATCAATTTTTATTAAAATTTACACAATCATGATTAATGCAGCTTATTAGTTACGAGTTATCTTATTCTAGTCTGTACAATGCTCAAAACATGGTAACTCTTAACCAGATTCCAATTAAACTATAAACCATAGATAAACTACAATTTAAACTCAAGTTTATGAACTAAATAATTTTTCTGATAACACTTTTTTGCAAATAACTTTACATAAATTACTAAAAAAGTCAAATATCAATATGGCCACCATGTATAGTATTTGAGGTGCTTCAGTTTACTAAATTAAGCTTCCAATCAAAAAAAAAAAGAAATATTGCAGTTTTTGTTTATTCTCTTAAGGTACAGTATTGTACATTTGTTAATTTATCTTAACCAGGTGCGGATCTGGTAGTGATTCCTGCAGGTGTGCCCCGTAAGCCGGGCATGACCCGTGATGACTTGTTCAACACAAATGCATCCATTGTCCGTGATATAGCAGACTGTGTTGCTAAGAATGCACCCAAAGCTATCATGGCTATTATCACCAATCCTGTCAATTCTATGGTGCCTATTGCTTCAGAAGTACTGAAGAAGGTAAGATATGAAATTTATTTTTAGTATAGACAATGAGTATTTCTGATTATCTTGTTTGACCCTTGGCGAGTGATAAGGACGAAATCTTGACATAGCAATGTGTCTCTTATGGTGATATTTTGATGTACAACATTCATATGAGATTGAATGTGGATAGCTACACAGGTAGAAGACCAAAGATGGATGGATTGTGCGAAAGAGGATATGCGTAAGAAGGGGATAGATTCAGATAGGCAGGGTGATAGAGATGTAGGGGAGTACATACTGTGTCGAACCTCTGTAGAGATAAACACAGGTTGATGAATGTTTCTTCATAAGCAGGAATTGAATTGATTGACGCTTATGAATATAATGATGTGTAAATGACTAACAATGGATTGTATTTCACTGAAACAATACAATGACATGTTTGAATACACCATCAATATAGTGCGGAGACATGAGTATAGATAACAACTTGACTAAATGATAAGTTGTATTGTTTCACTGACATTAAATAATTTTCTTTGACAATTATTTGTACTATGTTTTATTTAATGGATTGTATCATAATAATGTTACTGATATTATAAATGCGAAAAGTTTGGATGGATGGATGTTTGAAGGTATTTCCGGAACGGCTCAATGGATCTTTATAAAATTTGGCTTAGGTGTAGAACATAATCTGGAACAACACATAGTTTACTTATCAAGTTTGTTTCTTATTCCGCGCGGACGAAGTCGAATCTAGTAATAAATATGATTTACACATATTCACTATTTTCATTTCTTTTATGATTTTGTATATTAAAATGTTGAATTTAAAACCTTTCCAAAACTTGTAGGCTGGAGTATATGATCCCGCTAAAGTACTTGGTGTAACCACCCTGGATGTGGTCCGTGCTGCTGCTTTCATTGGAGAGATCAACTGCGTGGACCCCACTACTGTAAAGATTCCCGTCATCGGAGGGCATTCGGGTGTTACCATTATTCCCGTGCTCAGCCAGAGCTGCCCCGCTGTTAATTTGACCGACCAGAGCAAGATTGAGGCACTCACAAAGAGGATCCAGGAAGCTGGTACTGAGGTAAATTGATAAATTCATTTGTTTCGAAATATATCTGTACCTGAAGACTTAAACAAATATATAGATGCATCCGAAACCGCAGATCCTTAGTGAACCATTTGCAGTAATATGATGGTATATTGCCGGTTTATTTGATTTGGTTGTTTTGTACTTGTAGACTTGTTATGTATAAAATAATTACGAGCTTCACGAGTTCCTGAGAAAAACGGCCTTGACAGACAGACGGACAACCGTTTTTTTTCCTTTCGAGGTGTGGAACCCTAAAAACAGATGGCACAATGTATGTAATGTTTGTGACAGGTGGTGAAGGCAAAGGCCGGTGGAGGCTCCGCCACTCTGTCGATGGCGTACGCCGGCGCCCGTCTCGCCTGCGCAGTGCTGCGGGGACTCAAGGTAAGCTATCGCCTATTAACTAAATAATTGTAAATGCCAAACAAGTTCGAAATTATCATTTATCCAGCAAATATAATAAATTTGGAGTGGATAAAAAATACTGTTAAAACATAATCGTCTCGAAAAGTTTAAACGAAAATTAATTTACAACTTCTTAATTATTAATATATGTTACAAAAAAAAGATAGAGTAATATTAACAAAGACATTTCTAATTATATTTATATTTCAGGGTGATTCAGACGCAGTGGAGTGCGCATACGTGAAGTCAGATCTGACCGAGGCGACTTACTTTGCCAACCCAGTGCAGTTCGGACCCAACGGAGTTGAGAAGAACCTGGGCTACGGAGAGCTCAATGACTACGAGAAGGAACTCCTCAAGGCTGCCATACCTGAACTCCTTAAGAACATCAAGACCGGTGAGAACTTCGCCAACAAGTAGACTATTACCAATGAACCAACCAGGATGAAGACGGGAGATTGGAGAATTTGAAATTTCTAGGATTAGAACTATGTCTAGTGATAATAGTGTTAAAATTTATTTTAAATAGGAAAATATACAAAGAAGTAGTTTGGTAATATATATACCATAGTTTTTGGGTTATTGCTATTTAAAATATGTTTTAATGAAATTAAATGGCATTATTCTATTTTAAATTGTTCTTAGTATATTTTGGTTCTTTCCGATGTCGTATGTCTTTAATGTCCTGATTAAAAAGAAAATGGTAGCAAATAAATGTTAGGAAAATCTATATTTACCCTGACTCTTACTATTTATTAAATTATTCTTTCTTTTTATCTGAAAAATATCGAATGTTTGTAATTAGAAGGATTATATTTGCATTTTGCTTTTGTTTATTTAAACTTGTAATGTCTGTGCGGAGGATGGAAGTTATTTTGTAAATAAATTGTTGGCCCCCGTATGTTATGTTGGTATTAAAATACAACAAATAATTGTGTTTTATTTATGACCCAGGCATGACGTGAGGTTTCATTGCAAAAGATCAAACATTAACATCCCCCATCGGAATGTTAAAACTTTGGAAAAAGATCAATGCAATCCTTCGTTTGATTATTATAAAATGAAAAGTTTACTCACATGTCTCTGCTGACTCCATTTACAAGTTTTGTAAGAAATAAAAACAATATTTTAACACTAAAATATTAGCTATATAATTTGCTGAATAATGAACGTATTTTATTGTAAACACGCAAATGAGATTGATTCTCATAAAATTCAATATAAATCTCTACCATGAGGAGCACGAGGTACGCACAGAAGATTGTCACTCCAGTCCAGGACCGGGTGTTCGTTTTCCTGCTCACACGAGGACTTTCCATCTTTGAATACGTCGTTGCTTTGCAATGAACAAATGGAAATTGGCAGAGACTCGAAACTATTTTTACCCAATACTGCTATTAATTATTTAAAGTACGCCATTTGTAGTAACGTTTTTACTATAAATTAATATTTACACACACACTACACATAACATTTGATCCCGCAATCAAATTCGAGAGATGTTACAAAATGAACTGTGAAATACAGAACCGCGTCCCAGTTCCTTGCTTTTAAAACTTTCTATGACGTCAGTGTTGCCATATTCATTCTATATATTTTTTTCAATTCTATATAAAGACGTAACGCGGGTAGGTATATAATAAAAGCGAAGGTAGATTTGCATCTTATTTATTTGATTTGTCCTCCCAAAACTTTGTTTTTGCTTATGTTTGGACTTACAAGGATTATCTTTCTTTCGGCTACTTACAATAACATTACAGTTTTATAAAGAAATCACAATGTGGAGAGTCGCCGGGACGCGGCCGCCGGCGCTCGCCGCGACCTCCCGCCCTCTGCGACACCGACCTGTCTTACATTATTATTATCATCCTTGCAACAGCAGCGATTTATTTAAGGTATAGATACCAGTCAATTACTTAAAAAAAACTATATACATTTAAGGATGAATCAATTAATTAGTTTAAAAAAGCCATATTTTTGCAGTGGTTAATTTTGATATCGGTGTGGTTGCGGAGAGGTCATCAGACGGCATCCGGCGCGCCGCGGCCCGACACACAGACAGACAGGAGCGCAGACACGCGTCGCTCTCTCATAGCCCGCACTCAGCCGGCCGCGTCGGCCGCACTAACTCAAATCGAAATCTCTATCCGTACACTTACAACTAACCTTCTGTATAATTACAAATGCACAGTATGTATACATAATAACCATACACTTTTACAATATGTATATAATTTAATAATCCGTTAACCGTGTTTACATCGTATGTAGCGTTAGGGCTTAGTCAGCGAGCCCCGCCCCGCCCCGCCCACTGCGCCCCGCCCCCGTCCCCGCCCGCACACACTAACAAACAAAAAGGAAAACTATTTACATTAGACGAGAAAGATAAATTCAACTACGCGCATACTAACTAAGGCGGGGGCGGAGGCGATGCGGCGCGGCGGGTGCGGGGCGGGGCGGAGCGCTCGATAAAAATAACTTATACATATGTATACAGACATATATACATACATTAACTTAGTCTCGTCAGGTGGTCGGCCGCAAGCTCAGCGTCTCCTCGTATGCACTAACTATACACTGTACAGGCCGCGTGCCCCCGCCCCCCTCGACCCCTCCCGCCCTCCTCGCCCCGCCCACTGGAAGACTGGATATAGTACACGGTGAGAGCCACTTAGCGCTATGAAGACAATACGATTGTGTGGCAGTGTTCGGTAGCGTGGCGCCGACTGCTTTACAAATATATAAAAAATAATCTAGAAAGTTCGCGAGCCGTAAAACAACAAAATAAATAACAATTTAACATTATCATACTCTCACTATTCGACAGCAGAATCCATTTTACATAAGCGTATTCCGTCTCGCTCGGGTATCGCCCTCCCCCCGCCACTCTCAACGCCCCGTGCGTCCCGCGGGGCGTGTCTCACACAAACACACACACACACACACTCAGTCACTGAGATCACGCGCACAAGTTCATAATAGTCTATCACTTTAATGTCAACGTCATCTCCTGTTCAAACGAAATCGTCTCTGAATAATTAAACTTATCCATTCATCGATTAGTGTCACCGATGCGGTGTGCTGTAGTGGATCACAGAATTTCTTTTGCCTTGACTTTCGGGCGTGTCTTCCCTGCTGTCACCTCGATGCTCTTCTTCTCGATCTCTGTCTTCTTCTTTGTTAATGGTGTCAGTGCGGGAGTGGTGTCCGCGCGCGCCGCTCTCCGCCGCGCCCTCTGCCCTTGTATTCGATGTATTTCGATTGTTTGTTGCCGCAATGTCCATTATGTTATTATCAGTCCGCTTGAGCAGCGTGAAGGCCAGCCGGGGCCCGCCACCCGCGCCCGCGCCCGCGCCCGCCCCCAGCAGCGCGTAAGTAGGCCTGCCTGCACGGGGCGCGGCCGCGGAGGGAGGAGGTCTCCTGAGCAGCAGTATACGCGGCCGCGTGCGGGCGGGTGCAG